ATTTAACAACTGTTTTGCACGATTTACAGTATGGTTGAAAACGTTTTTTTTTTTGGAAACGGCCGAAAATTCATGCGCGCGCGGATGTCATCCATATAATCAAATCAACATGGCCTTGTGTCCAAACACATACTTTTCATAAAGAGAAGGAAAACTACCAGAAAAAACAACAACTAAACGCGGTGACATATTGGTTTATATTCAGACAATCACGACATCTCCTTTGAAACATCTGACTTCAAATGCCGACCTTGTTCAATTCCAAACAATGTTCCTGTCCAAGCTGTCGGAAAAGCTCCAAAGTCATTGAAAACGGCTAAACAGCTGAGAGGGAAGACCTCACCCGCAAGGTGTTGCCAAAAATGAATTCCCTGGGAGGGAAGACCTCACCCGCAAGGTGTTGCCAAAAATGAATTCCCTAGGGAATGCGTGCGTGGAATATTTAGAATTCCTGGCAATTCAATCGCAGTACTATACTAAGGGCTCCGCCCCTGAGGCGTCGCCAAAAAACAGGGTAGTTGTTTGTTAGGCTTAAGACCATGTGAAGGTTACAATTCTAGTTTTTCTTTTTTTTTCATTTTCCAGACAGATCTGGTGTTCAAGGCCCCCCAGTTGTCAAACCAGTTAAACCAGTGCCCAAGTCTGCCCCTCCCCACAGTACACAACATGTCCGTACTGAACCACAAAAGTCTCCAAACAGCCCTACTAGCAAACACACAGAACAAGCTGATGAAAAGGCAGAAATAAAAAGGCCAAACAAGGTGGAGAATTTGAAACACAGTACACAACATGTTCAGCCTGAAGCAAAGACAGCTACTCCAAACAAGGCAAACAAACAGGTGGAAACAGTGGATAAAGAAACAGAGATGGGGGGAGAGGTAGAGGAGGAGGTTTTGGAAAACTGGCGTGAGTTTCCAGAGCAGCCTCTACAGCTGGTCAGGCCTGATGTCACACACAAGAAACTGGTTCTGGTACAGCAGAATGTCAAAGTGAGTACAGTATATAAAGTTTTTTTTCTTCAATATTCAGGTTTATTCTAAATGAGAATATCTGTACTGTCAAAAAATTGAGTCCACAGCATTGTATTGTGTTGGAAATCAATATTAAAAAAACTGATTTAGACCTGAGCTTTAGAGCTTTCTGCTCAATACATGTACCCAGTAGCCAATACAAATATGGTACCAAATGGCTACTTAGCTGAAGGTTTAACATTCTTTAGGTGATCTGGCAAGCTACAGTCAAACTTAGCCAAGTGGCCACCTCTTCAAGACAGCCACCTGACTAAACAACCACTTTTCCATTAAGTATGTAATCTGCCCACAAAGGCCACCTGTACAAGAAGACCAGTCTTCACTGCAGTCCCCTGGGTGCTCTTCTTGGACAGGTTTGAAATCGTATATTGATGTGACCTTTATGCCCTCCAGCTGCTGCACAGGATATCTGGTGCTGTGGCCACCATCGCTGTAGTCGGAAAGTTCCACTCAGGGAAGTCCTTTCTCATGAACCAACTGATGGGCAAGTCCAGCGGGTTTGGAGTCGGCCCCTACGTACGGCCGCATACCATGGGGATATGGATGTGGGGAAAGGTAAAGATATTGTAATAAAGACACCATCATCATCATTAGTCCTCCAATCCATGTAGCACACAACTTGAATATTGTGGATCTTAAGAAAAAAAAAACTGAATCAATTTAAAGGTTTAAAAGAAAAAAAATCCTGAATAGAATTTATCTGTCTGTTGTCATGTAGAAGGCTGCAGTAACTCCTTTTATTTCTCTCTCTCTCTCTTTGTCCCCCTATGTGTAGCCTCTGGAGATGACTCTACCTTCAGGAGACTCAGTTTCTGTTATCTTCCTTGACACTGAAGGTTAGTATGGGGTTCTTCTGAAATCAGAAAATTTTAACATTTTCAAACTTTAAGGGCCCAGGGGTAGTCAGAAAGATTTTTTTAAAGGAAAAACCGCAGCAGCTGCAGGAAGAATAGATCTCAAATCTGACTATGAGTTGCTCAAACATTTGCTGTTCAGCATCCACAAAAAATCTAAAGATCCTACTTTTGCTCGCCCCCCTCCAGGTTTTGCAGCCAACAACATCTCAGAGAACTACGATGCTAAGATCTTTGCCGTGTCGACCCTCCTCAGCTCCTACCTGATCTACAACTCTGTCAAAATCATCGACCAGGCAGACATCGACTACCTGGAACTGCTGGCCAGAAGAACTCAGGTGGGATGTCAGGCAGCACATTTTGTCCTCATTTTAACATTTACTTTTTTGGACTTACCTTGCTATCAAAGACATGTAGTTATCTTCTTCTGACCATGGATAGGAGTATATTTTCTGACAGTGTCCCTATCTCTTCAAAAGATATTGGTGATGGTCTGTCCAACTTACCGTCAGTATATAGCTTCTGAAAGCTCTTCATCTTAAAGGCCTCAATCTTCTGCCTGTCCTTACTTGTGTGAAGTGTCCATGCTTCATAGCCACATGTCACCACGGGCCAGACCAGGCTATACATGTATATATAACTACTGATTATTCTTCCCATCAGCTGTTTGCCCTGCGGTCCCAGATGTCCAGATCCAAGTGGGCCGACGACTTCAACCACGACCTGCTCAGCTTCCCTCCTCTGCTGTGGGTCAGTCTGAGTCTGAATCTCATTTTAGTCATAAGCAATAAACACTGCATTTCTATATGTTTGTTTGTATTTTCTTGCCTAATATTCAGAAAATCCTAAATGCCCTTGCCGTCATTGCTTCACTGCAGGTAGTCCAGGATTTTGCCCAGTTGTTGGGTGATAACGACTCACCCCAGGACTGGCTCAGGAAACTCATGGACACATCAGCCTGGGACAACGAGGACTACGAGATCAGTTTGCTGGGTACTGGAAATGTCATCTTACCTATACTAGTACCTCTGATTTTAAAGGTTATGCTGTGGTATATGTTGTCAACACTTCTTATTTCGTGATTGAAAGAAGTGGTTTTTGTTATTAAAATTTTTTATACATGTATGATTGTGTTTTGCAGGTGTCTTCAAGTCAGTGGACTGTCACACCTTGTTTCTCCCTGCAACCAGGAGGGAACTGCTGCAGGACTTGTCTCAGGTATCTGTCTTACAATACCATGTCCTTGACACAGAAGTCTAGACCACTCCAACAGCCTTTGTGACTACCTTATGCCCTTAGTGTGAAATCCACAAACTTTAGACCAATGTTTTTGTTGTCTTCCAGGCACGAGAAGAAGACCTAACAGAGGAGTACAGAGAGGAGAGAGACAGTCTCATCAGCAAACTCAGGAAAGGACTTGTCCCTAAGGAGAAAAATGGTATGGCAGGGTTTTCAATTGAAATGGGAAATTCAGTTGACTCTGTATTTGCATTGCACAGAATATATTCAAATTGCTTCCTTGCCACTTTTTAATTGAGAAGTTTAGAGATTAAGAGTGTGTGAGTGATTAAGGGGTAAAAACCTGACAACATATAACACGATCACAAGTTCTAACAAATCCATAAACATATGGTAACCGTTGTAAATAATATGTCAACATAACAGTTTGCAAACAAGTTTCCTACATCCCGGCCTTTTTAGATCAACCCATCACTGGAGCAGAGCTGGCTTCTCTCTTAGACATTCTGGTCAACGCTGCTAATGAAGGATCACTAGCTCAGGTAACAATTCAACATTATTTTCTTTTCACTTAAAGATGCAAAGGATTGTATTATGATGTTAGGTATGAGGATATAGTCATATTTCACTGCACTTGTTACTTGCATCTACATTACAAGTAACAATTGGCATTTGATTTAGAACGGTTACCATAAATCTGTTGGATAGATTTCCAAGTGTACATTACTTGATGATCCTGATGACGATGATGTTTATCCATCATGCTCGATGAAGACCTTAACTTCAGTTTGTTTCAGTTGCTCTTGTCCTAGACTTTATTCCTTAGACTTTATTTTTTATAGATCCCCAGCCGTTGGAATGTGTTTATCGACAAGTTGGAGAGAACAGCAAAGGAAGACTGTCTGCTGTTCTACGAGGGAGAGATGGCTGTCCTGTACAAGGGGAGGGACAATGGACCAATCATACCGCAGGAACTGGAGGTGAGGGTCAGGTCAGGTCAGGGTCATAGTTACAAAATGTACTAATAGATGGCCTGGGGCAGAGAAAAAAACGTGATGTGAGGTTTTTAATGACCTGTGTAATGTATAATTTCAATATGTGCCTTACAACCTTATTACACTCTAGCTGTTATTCCCTAAGTCACAGTTTATTAAGGACTTATATTGTAAGTAATACTAATAGTGTGATTTACCCAGGACTGGCACAACCAGATGTACAACAAGTCCCTGGATCTGCTGCAGCATCTGCTGTTTGGGTGAGTCTGATCAAAGGATATATTATTTCATCTTCAGAACATCTAGATCATCAAGGTTCATGTGTAGATTTTTATGATTCTAAATTGACTTAAAATTCATAAACATCCATGATCATAGAAAAACTGTGATACAGAAAGTCTGTCTAACGTCCCTTTAACATGTGTTGTGCTCTCCTTGCCAGCCTGGGAGACTCTGTAGAGGAGTCTTCCCTTGACCTTGGTCGTGAGATCAGGAACAAGTTCGACAAGACACTGGAGATCAACGACAAGAAAATCAAACTGAGATGTACAGAGTGGCAGAGGAGACTGGAGGTGTGGCAGGGTTCATGTGTTGTACAATGTAGTCTTGTAGCTCAGGTTGTTGACTTGGAACCTAAAGGTCCTGGGTTCAGATCCCAGTGGCAGGCCCTAGTGTTGTGCTGTTGGCAAAGGCATTTCACATCTATTTCCTCACTTGACTCAGGTGAAAATTATTACCTGACTTTGGTTAAGGGTTGAGAAGAAAGAAGAAATGGTTTGACAAGGGAGGACTTCCACCACTTGAGCCTACATTATGTCAACCCACAGGATAGGGGCAAGTGGGGGGCTGCCATCAAGCCCTAATATTGCTACATGCAAGCACGTCCAACCCTCGGAAGTCAGGGAACAACAGAATCTGATGCTAAATCAGATAGTGAGTGTGTGTGAAAAGATTGTGTTATTGTAGCATCTCATAAAGATTGCCAATTATCACCTGTTATACACAGCTGGAGGCGGAGGAGAAACTGGAGAGTGTCCAGCTGCCGACCCGGTCCAGCGTCCTGGAGGAGGAGTTTGTTGCCGTGGAGACCAGCTGTATCAGCAGCTTCCAGCAGGCTGTGGGGAGACTGTTGGGCAAGAAGGCTTACAGCAAATACATGGAACAGCTCAAGGTAGGGATTTGTTAAATGTTGATTTTAACTTTTGTCTTACACACTCTGTCTTCTGCTAAAATTAGACGTGACATTCTTAGGCAGATACATAATACATGTAGAAATTCTGCCGTGCAGTGCTCACAATGCCTTTGTGTACAGTCACGACTATGGCCTTTGTGTGAATGTATACACAGCAGACATATTTGCAGCAGACTGTTCCACTTCAAGGAAGGGGGAGAAAGCAAAGAGATTTAAAGCTTAATTGTAATATGAATTCCTGAAAATTAGGAATACAAGTAGGAGATAATGAAGGGGAATAATTTTTTAATAGAAAATTTGTTGTGAGAGAATAAAGAATGATTTTATGCCCCATTCATTGTCTAAGTTTTAACGGTTTAGAGATTAGAATAGCCCAAGGTTAACGTTTAACACGTGATCAAGTTTTCCATATATTATGCGAAGCAGGGCCTTGCGGCAGGTAGCAAGTGGTATTGTTGTACAGAACATTTATTTATCATGAGGTGAAAGGATATCATTGAAGATTAAAGTTGAAGGCAAAAAGAACAGGAGTTTTTTCTTTTAACTGATCAAATAGGTCTTTTCTTAAAAAGGAGATTTCAGACCTGTACAGGCTTTTTTTACTACGTAGATATAGCCAGAAGTGAAAGAGACATTTCCCACATTGCCCACCTGTACAGACGCTGCTGGTCTATGTTTAAATTTTCATCTAGTACCCTGGAGGTGCAACCGAGGAGTTACATTAAGTTGTGACTCCTTGAAGACAGCCTAGGCTGATGGCCGAGCCCCTCTCCAGGGGGGGCTCCCCACCAGGTGCACATGTGTTGGGATGGTACCTGGTTGGGCCAGCCACAGTTTATGATTGCCTAGCCCAGAAGGCTGGCCCGTAAAAAATGGGCTAGGCTTCTGTCCATGGCCATCATTCAGCCTAGGTTGTGCGGACTTACAACTAAGGAAGTTTCACACCACACACCAGAAAAACCCACTTTGCCTACCAACATATATTTATATTTATTGCTAGTAACTAGTGTTTGGTGAATTCATGAATGTTGGAATATATGTCAGTGTTACAGTGAAATGTTTATTTGTACAGAGCTCACTACAGAACGTCCATGACAAGTATGCTCTGAGGAACACCAGGCTGCTGGAAGACTTGTTGGACCAAGCTGTACAAAATGCCATAGGTAAAAAAAGTTAGAATGTGGATTTAATAAATTATGTTGCACCTGTAAGGCCTTATACTCTTAAAGGAAAATCATTGAGAAAACTGAAGGGATGGATTGAAAATCTGGATTGAAATTCATTCACACTTAAGTAATAAAAAACACTGAAGGACATGTCATTGTAAGTTTTCTTTTCTTTACAATCATGTGATTGCCACCAAGAATGTCTGAGTGTGAGTGGATTATTTTTTCCCCTTTTAAAGATGGTTTCCGTGAGAAGGCAGTGATACCAGACAAGACACCGCTGTCCCCTGGTGCTGTGGTCAGGCAGGTTGCAGAGGCAACAGTCACAGCCACTAAGGTACGAGTTTACATTAAATTTTATTATTTAGCAACAAGTTTAATCATTATTGAGACTTAGATATAAAGCTGATTACATTGTACATGTATGTCTATTAGATAAATACTAAACTATTGCTACCAGTATTAATCATCTTTATATCTTGCTGCATTTCTTTTTAGTCCTTCATTTTAAGAAAGCAAAAATGGTTGATTAAGAACTTTTGTTTTAATTTCCAGATATTTTCAGCAGAAGCCAAGGCTGCAGAGGGCGAGAAAATGTATGAACCGTACCAGGCTGTACTCCAGGTGAGAATAATGTCACCAATAGTTTCTTAAACTTACAGTCTCTTGTCATGGAGATTTATACTTTGCACATTAAGTACCTGACTGCTAATAAGAGTCAGGTGCCAGATTTTCCAGTTACATTTTGTATGTTGTAGTTTTGTTTCTGTTCTGCAAACTTTCAATTTTCCTTCCCTCTGTTTCAGACTCGTATATCAGAGGAACAGGAAAGGTTTGAGGAAGCCAACAGTGAGCTGGTCAGGCTCTTCTGTCTATCTAAGGTGGGTGCAGAGTTTTCTTTATTATCAGAACTGTATAATCAAAATAATGTAAGATCATTCTGTGGTCACTAATCACGTTCATAATGCATTGTATTTTGTATCAAGTTTGTATAATAATGTGTTCCTCTCCTCCAGGTGCGTGAGCTTGTAGATGAGTTCAGGACCAGTACTGGTAGTACTGAGATTATCTTACCCATCAACAACACAGAACTGGAAATGAGGTGCAGTAACTAATAAATCTCATTTGTAATTACAGTATGTTGAACTGTTTATCATTAATTTTTTTGGGTGCTAGTAGTTACATGTAAGTGTAAAGCTGTAACAAACTTCCTTGTTTGTTCCTTTTTCACAGTGATACTGAATTGACCAATTTCTTTACAGGCTAAAACAGAGTTGGCTGAGAGTAGAGGCCCTGTACAAGGAAGCTGAGGTAAGTTTTCATGTTTTCAGTTTGATAACATGTCTTATGGTGTGCATCGTCAACTTGAAGTAAATTATTGAATCATTGAGTTAAATGATATGATACTACTTTTTAACGTTATAAAAATTAAAATCATTACATCAGGATTGGTTAAGCAGAAAATCACAGTGTATAAATTTTAAACCTTCCCAATTTGGTAAATTTATTTCCATCCTGCAGGATGACTACTCACTATTTACAGCTTACAATGAAGGTCTGAAGACTTTGCAGGTGGGAGTTTAACTTCATGTAGTTTTTATACAGATTTGATGAAAAGATAGCGAAGATGTCATTTTTTCTGTTCCTACTCAAGATACTCAAGTGATACTGTAGATAATCATTTGTCTTCTCTTTTTTTCCAGGAGAGAGTAGAAGATGTTTGCAAACAGAGGAAGCAGGAAAATGTGCAGGCGTTTGCAAGAGAGGTGTTGAAGCTATGTCTGATGTTTTTATACTTATCTGGCATTCTGTACATCATATATGACTTAAAATCATGCTTGTATGAATGTAAAAGAAGAAACACTACTGAATACAGTCAAACCTGCCCACTGGCAGGTGGCCTTCTTTTCAAGCCAGCCACCTGGACATAACAATCACCTGTTCCTAAATTTTCCCCACCTGCTCAAGAAAATTTTGTCTTGGTCCCTTTGGTGGCCATTTTGGGCAGGTTTGACTGTAATTAAAAAGAAGAAAAAAACTGGCAAAGGTACTCCACAATTATCTTTAACCCTTCCTATGCTGTAACTAAGATGATACACTGTCAGCAGAGAGAAGGTTAATCACCATGATTCTTTTCCCAAACACAGGTAGACGCTCCTCTGAAAACAGCTCGTGACATTATCAAGCTGTCTGCAGACAAGTACGACACAGTCTTCAGCGTCACACAGTATGTGAGTACCAGTACAGTATGATAACTTTGTATAGATATGCTGTAATATGAGGGGTGGTAAATTGTAATTATTCAGTTGTCAGGTTGTTTCTTTTATTTCATAGTCAGCTAAGGCCTAAGGGTGTACTCTGTACGTTCAATGTTTTTTTTATATAATAAAGATTTAAAAAAACAACATCATAAAATCTTTGACATTTGCTTGCAGATCCGACAGGTTTGCTTGCTGCAGTTAAACCAGGGCCAGCCAAAATACTGGCACCCAGAACTGAAGGCCAGCATCATCGATCACTTCATCCAATCAGAGAAGGATATACAGAAAATCATCCAATCACGGCAGGGCTGGTGGTCAGCTGTTGTTGGGTTCTTCCAGTGGTTGCTATGGATATTTAGAATAGATGTTCTGTAGCTTTACTGTCAACCAATCAGAGGGGAGCTGTCTTTGATTAGCCAATCACAAAGGGGCAGGTGGGCAGTCATTATGTGTCTCTTCCACTGGTTGCTATGGGTATTTAGAATACATATTATGTAGCTTTACTGTCAACCAATCAGAAGAGAGTTACTTTAGGTTAGCCAATCAGAGAAGGGTTTATTGTCAGCCATTCTTATTCTGTTGCTGGACTGTAAACCAATCAGAGAAGTTGTTGCATGTTTTGTTACTAAAATGTACATAAGTGGGCACTTTGGTTGTACATGTACTTTATTTGTTGCTTTACAAGTTGCATCTATATAAATCATTGAAAACATCTAAAAGCTGTGCAATCACGGTCTACTTGGTAAATGTAGTTATTCTTACTTATATACTGACACTGTCTGGCAGCTATAGAAGAAAGCCTCAGAAGAATAACATGTACCAAGGAGGTTAAAATCAGATGTAGTTGAGTTTAACCTCCTTGCATGTATACCTGCACACATTTAGAGGCTGAAGTATGGGACATTTGCAGGCCAAAATCGTTCCAGGTTAAAGTGAAGTGATGCCATGGGGTAAATGTTGAATAACAAAAATCATGTCCAAGTTGCACAAACAAGATTACCTGACTGTTCCTTTAGTTAGTTTATAAACTTTTCAAGAAACTGTACATTTGTGCACTTTGTTTTGTTATATTACTAGCTAAGCTACATCCATTTCAAGTTATTTTATATGACATACATATCTATGCATGTGCATGTACAGATAATGTTGCAAATAGTTATATTGTTGCAAGAATGTATATTAGTTAATATTCTAAAATAGAGCTTTGTAAGGGAAACTTTAATTTTGTTGCAGATTGCTTGTGCCATAAATATTTTTTCCTGTTGTGCAATTTAAGATAATAAAGACATTGATGATGGTGGTGCTATTGCAGTTTCAACTTATTTGGTGGGTACAAAAATAAATTGTCGAATGAATTGGTAAAAATCTTTTTCAAAAATGCAAGGACAAGATCATAATTGGTGGCTAACTGGAGGTTTTTCATCACAATTTCTGTCATCTAGTTAGTCACATGGAAGACTTCGCTGATGGTTTAAACCTGGAGAGACTGAAGGGAGTGACGTCATGACTGGTGGGCTGGTCCAGGACCATCTGACACAGGAGCTGTCCCACCACAGGGGCCGCCATGAAACCGTGTCCTGAAAAACAATAGTTGAATATCTTACAGAAGGGGGTGTCGTGAAACTATACTGGTCTAGGAAGATTTTACAAAGCACCAAAAAAGGCCATCTTCATCAGGGGATTGCAACCATCCCTCAACAAAGACGGGGGGCGCCACAGACTCTCTGCGACCTATGATCCACTGCTCACCGAGTCACGTGGCTCCTCTGCATAACGCGACGTCACAAAGATTCCTTAAAAACTAGAGTTGTACAGTCGAAAATTTGTGTCTCAAATTACAGTTTAAACTTGCTCGTCTGAGAAAGGCAGGTTTACCTGAAAATCCTGTACCGAAGACGATGTTAGGATGGGTGGGGTGTCTATCAAGGATGAAATTCCCATCTGGCGTGTTCTGTGAGTAAATGGATGTATTATCATTAACCAATAACTCCTAATTCTTCTCACAATCGCTATAGTCTTTTCCACCAGTGCACCATAACATAGTCACCATTCGACATCTCATTCCTATCTAGCTATCAACTTCAGGTTTGACCGTCTCAAGTCACGAATTACATGTGTACCCTGGTTTAATGATCTCAAGCTACTTAAGGTACTAGTAGTAGAAGATGGTGTCTGGTGATTTTGGGGGGTGTTTCAAATAGTGTACTGCTAGCTCTTGATTTTTTCTCTCTACGTACCTGTTTGCAAGATGATAATTTACGCAAAATTTCTAGGCCCACGCCCATTTCTATAAAAGTCATAAATAATCCTTAAAGATCAAAATATGATGACTGACCGTGTACATGCATCTCTCCACCAGGCAGGGCCGGTTCTCGAAGTCCGGGAAGTGTTTGCAGACGTAGTCCCGGAGGAAGGCCTGGTCGGCGGCTAGCTGCGCAGCCATGTCGGCGTCTCTACGGTCGGGGTGGGCCGTGTGACCCCGGTCGGTCCCACCCTGCTGACTGAAACTGATCTAAAGGGAAAACATTGACTTCAAAGACTTTTGTGACAGATGTAACGTTATAAAGTCTACAGACAGGAAAACGGTTTGTGCCGACTTGTGCGAGCATGTCGGCCGTGTGGCCCCGGTCGGTCAGGGCATACCAACTTCCTCTCAACCGGAACGGGGGGCGATACCGACTTTCTACAAACTTTGACTCAGTGTTGACCGCAGACGTCCTGAACTGTTAACAAATTATAAATGACTTTACTGACTTGAAGTACCATTGGTAAATTCAACTTTGCTGTTCAAGGCACCTTGAGAGTTTCGGGATGTTCCAAGGACGGAAACGCGCCAACTTCGTTGTCATCATCGAACATGCAGGGGAAGTCGTCGCGGACGGAGAGGAGCGCCCCTTGCGACTTTCTCATATACAGCAGATTTATTGGCATCACCTTGATTTTGTAGGAAGAAAGAGAGATGAATATGAATTATAAATGTCAATAGAAAAAAGAAAAGTACAACCATATGCACCTGTATGGACTACCCAAAATTTCAGAAAACAAGTAACACTATTTCAGCCACTGTTTGAACGGCCAAAATTTGGCCAAGGCGTAGTTTTTCCAATTTAGAAAGTTGAAGATCGTTCCCAAACAAGCCTTTGCTATATCTTCAGATTCCTCTAATGATGTTTAAAGCTAATTCTGTGCTATGGTCACCTGTAATGGCGGATGTAACCCTATCCCTGCCATGACGTCACCAGCCCAGGGGCCGCAGGTAAGAACCAATCGCCGGGTGCGGAGTGTACCACGTGACGTTCGCAGCGTGATGACGTCACCAGGTGAGATGGTCTCCAACCTTTCCCCATCTCGGAGAACACCGCCCTTCTGTAAAAACACCTCCTGGGGGAACATTTGGTAAAAAAAAGTGGTAAAGGTATCGTACAATAGTCTTTTTCAGGCCATTGTAATTTGGACCTGTTCTTGACAACCCCATTACTCCCACAAAATTCAACCTCAAACGACTAAATTCCCCAGGTCTCAAGTGCAAACTCGACACAAACACAAAGACTATCAATTACCTCGACCGAAAACAATACTTCGGCCACGAAAGCAATGATGCAAAATAAGAAAGAAGGAGAAACACCTGTATATAGTAGTAAAAGCAGTTAGCTCTACCAGATGTACGAAGTGATCCATGACGTTCTCACTCTGGAATAGACGATATCCAATACGAGCTATTACCTAAGCTTAAGGGCCATACGGAAACACAGACACAAACACACACACACACACACACACACACACACACACTCACAAACACACACACAAACAAAGAAACACACACACACATATACAGAGAGAGAGAGAGAGAGAGAAAGAGAGAGACAGACAGAGGGACAGAGAGAGACAAACATACCCAAAACAATTTCATTGAGGTAATATAAAAACTGTTTTACCTGCAAACATTTGATAGCCTTGTCAGCTCTGATCTGCGCCCCCTGCTCGTCCACCAGCCCGGTAAACTCCGCCGGGTACCGCAGCGCGGGGAACTCGGTCCGGAGAGCAGGTCCGGCCGCCAGTCGGTAGGGGAGTCCCGCCGCGTGCAGGGTACGGGCTTTGGAACGGAGACCCTTCACGGTCTTACTGGCCACAACCACGAACGGCTTCGGGCTGCACATGGACGAACAGCAACAAGTGGGTTACTTTTATGAACTTTTTTTCAAGGTCCGTGGAGCTGTCATTGAATATACATGGCTATAGCAGCCCAGGTTGTAAAAACGTGTGGGGCTCTTCATTTTCTTGACATGATATAGGATCATTAGTGGAAAGAAAAAAAGGAAGGAAGGAAGAAAGAAAGGATATAGAAAGAAAGATCAGTTTTCTAAACGACCAGTTATTGTATACATCGTAAGTTTTAAATACATAACGGTATCAGCCTTAGTTTGGACATATTCCTCAGTTGCTCGCTCATTTGGGACCACATATTGAGTAGACTTACACCAGTAGCTTGACTCCAGTCTCCTCCTCCAGCCGTCTCCACATGCTGAGAGACTCCGTGACGATATCGGCCATGTAGGCGAGCTGCTGCCGGTACGCGCGGCGGATCACACGGGTACCGCCCACCGAGCTGCCCAGGGTGTGCGGGAGGGCGAACTGGAACATACCTCGTTATGTAAGATGTCTATATACATGTATCTCTCTCTATATATCTATCTATCTATTTATAATACCTACTGTATCTCCATCTACCTCCATCTGTCTATCTAGCTCTACATATCTATATGATCTATCTATCCATACAATGTATGTGCGCAATGTTTTTGGAACTAAGTAAACGATCCCAGATTTGTGTATATTTCGTACGAGGTCAATCATCATTTTACTGTACACCACAGCTTTATTCGTTGATTACCTGCCTACAAACACCCAATCTCATAACTTCGAATCCATACATGCCAATAAAAACCAACGAACTAAATGACCGATCAAACAACACTTAAGTTTGAAGTCAACCTCCTCGGCGGCATGCTCGTATCTGATGTAAGTTGATGAATGACCGTGGCGCTACGTGCAGGACCTTGTGTATCTAAGGTTAACCATTACAAGAGATGGGACAGACACTTCACAACCAATATATGGCTGAAAAGTGCCAACCCCTCCAACTACGTCCTGCAACATCCAACATAATGTAACTCAACACCACAGGCTGTCTGCTACAGCACCGGTTACCATGGTGACAAACGCCTGGTCTCGGTCATTGACTTTATGTGCTTGAATTCGAGAAGAAGAAACAGAAAACCAGTCATGTTCTTCCGCGGAAGTAAACACAAGAAATGGTCACAATATTTAGGATGATGAACAATCCGATGTATGTAGTACGTGCAAGTAACCAACAGTTAACCATTAACCAAGAGACAAACACTAATCTCAACCAAATCTTACCTGCTCCAACAGCAGAGTCCTGACGCCGCTCTCAGCCAGCTGCAGGGCTGTAGCGGATCCCATGACCCCGGCCCCTACCACAACACAGCCCCAAACTGACCCCGGGTCCTCCATGATACTGTTTTCTACTAGAAACTGTGACAGATGAGCGACCAAAATTTTGACAGCTTGCTGAAGTAATTTTGTGGAATCCGATAAATAGCGAATTCTTTGTGACTGTGTTTTTATGTCTTTTAAGTCATACTTCTTACATCGTGAATTACATTCCAATTATAAATCGAAGAGCCACTCAAACAAACCCAATCTTGGCCGCTCGGACTGCGATCGCTGTCTGGTAGAAAGGGTGCGTTACCGACTGCCAGCCGACTACACTTACCCCATACAGGCCTACAAAATGTAAATCTATACGTTTTAAAACCGCCACTACTATAAAGTACAGCAAGTCTACTATAAGTAGACTATAAACAGCTACATTTTCAACAGTCTATGGCTATGAAATTCTAGACAAAACCGGGGCGATAGAGGAAAGTCTAAAGTCGTATTTGTATATTAAGTAAATCCGGAAAGGGTCAACGACCGGCTATCATAGTTCAGTTTTCACTCAAACATTCTATACTAAACCTAATGCCAGTAAAATGCAGTGATCCGATATTTAATGCTAGATGTGCCAAATACAATAAATGGTCTGTCACTTCTGGTTTTAGAGAGGACGATATATGGGGCACTGAATCGAAGACAATCAGTCTACATGTGCAAACAATGGTTCACTTAACTTTAAACATACTCAAACTGGCAACGGCCTTGACTTTGACTCAGTAACGTACAAGTTGGTGTGGGAATAAATATCTTAGCTAGCAACTATTATGCACCAGATGACAAACAAATGAAAGTTTTCCCAGCTTCCTTGGACTGAAATTATTTTTATTCAGTGTTATTTTTCAGTGTTATCCATACTAAAGACTGGCATTTGATCAGAGCATTATGTACAAGATGTCAAAAATCACCTGTCAATGATCACTATATTCTAGTTAACTAGAAAGACTATCTTACTAAACACAAATTGTAAGTGTATCAGTGATATATCTACCATGCATGTATACAAAGTTGAAAAAGTTACTTGAACATAATGCAACAAAGTATATGGTACAATGTCTTCAGTTCTTTTTGCCTTGGTAGACAGTCTACCACAGCAGTTACACAGCAGCTACACAGCAGCACACACACATGAAACACACTGGTCCAGCCAGTTACAGCTTATTCAAGATAAATACAGCATACAAAACAAGAAGGAAATGTCAGATATCCAAGACATTCTCAGAAAGGTCTTGATAACAGCCTTTTCTAACCTAGCATCTAGTAGCAGTTTTAGGGCACCTGGCAAAGTTTATGTTAACTATCAAGTGGTTTACATCCATGTTGCAGTGCTGTTGCCTAGTCCTGAGTTTTAGTGCATGTCTCCAGCTCACTGATGATGTTGATGAAGGCATGCCATATTTGGGGATGATTGACACACACGGTGCCTCCGGGTCGCTCCTCCTGACTCATCTAAAAAAAAAAAAAACAGCAACAACAAAATCAATATGATATCTTTCAGAAAAAATGCATGCTCTATTTTATTTCTACCAGCATTTCTTAACTCATATTTCTACCCTTTATTGCATCACAAAATGACAAGTGCAGGCCATCACATCTTCACTAGTCTAGGTTTCATTTTGCCATAAAAAAACTTGTTTCTGACCTGTCTGTTAAGTCCCCCTATACATGTCCAGTGGCTCCCAGTGTCCTGAGTGACTGCCCACTTGGAGTGGTCCTTGGTAGAGGTGAATCTGATGCCATTGGGAAGTTTCACTTCTTTGATGTTCAACACCTGCAAAGATACAATACTGAAGTGTTGTTAAACTGTTTATCTGTATATGCTTCCTGACTGAGGAAGACTGAGTGATTCGATCAGTCGAAAATTCTGGTGAGTCAAATTTTGAGTTGGAGAACAGTTTAACTTCTTCATAATGCAAACACCTCCAGGTACATCAAATTTCACATAAACCAGAAAATTGTTTTATTAAATGTTAAACATATGTACATGCATATGACTTCCATCTTAAGTGCATTAAAGGTAGTCCACCTTGTATTTCCCACAGAAGGAGTCCAGTTTGCCTGCTCCGTTCTGCCAGGTTTCTGTTAACAGTTCACTCTGGAAGTACGGAGCCAGCCAGTCAGCATAGATGTCTGCAGGCAAAAACACTACATCATCAGATCTATTAACATGTTATATCCATGTATTTAAATACCTCCACGCATGCATAATTTAATTCAGTTGCAACAGACATATAACATCATAGATATTTCTTCAGCTATGAGATACATTATCATATAATTAATCTTCTCCTCTGTATCTGTATAGCCAGTATAGACACCCTTCTTAGAAGAGAGTTGGAGTGTTTAAAAAAATCTAACAATTACATGTATAAAATGAAGTTTGCATGGATTGAGAGTAGAACTGCACACCTGCATCGAAGGTCCCAAACTTGACAAAGCTGTGGAACTGCTGCCCGCCCGTGGAGGTGAGGACCAGGGTCTGGTTCCATGGCGACGACCCCACGTGCTGACCTTTCAGCACCTTGGACAGGGACGGGAAGTCAGCAGCAAAGGCTGCTGGGAGCTGACTGTCATACACCCTTGGCCAGGTGTACAGGAGCTGTTGGCCTGAAAATATGGTGACTTTTAGTTAGATGTAATTCTGCTGGCTAGAAATATTATAGTGAAGAGATTTGTGTACATGAATATGGTGAAGGATGCATATAATTAGAAAGGTAACATTTGCAATGAAAAACATAATGTTTACCTTCGCATACCTTAACAAATTACTGCTCTGCTTAACCTTACTCAAACATATTCATATATACTTAGTACATGTATATAGTGACCAACCCCTCCAACTTGCTACATAATGTAACCTAACACCACAGGGTGTCGGCTACATAACCGGTTACCATGGTGGCAGCCGTCTGGTCCAAGTCAAGAAAAAGAGCAAAAACAATATCTTTCTTTCTGCGAAGAAAAATAAAATTCATTACAAATGGAAGTTGGAATAACTTACCAATTTTTTCAAATTCTCTGTACTGGAAGCTGATACAGAGGAAACTCTGTCCGTAGATGACGGCATTCTCAGGCCAGGAGTAGGACTCCTTAGCAGGGTTGGGGAACTTTGGTGTGCTGTGGACCAACCAGTAACCTCTGCTCTTATCAAACACTAACACACCTGCAACATACAATATACAGGTGAAAAAGAACACTGACACACCTGTAAACACACTATACAGCTGTAAACTGACACAAACACACCTGCAAACACAGGTAACATGAACAGGTGTAAACTTGGGTATACTGTGGATCAGCAAGATGGATTGATTGATTTGTTGATAAATTGATTGCACCAAAAGTACAACGTAGCGTCTACCTTTAGTGTGTCCCCTGTTTGTGGAGGTGGCAGCTAACGTGTCATTCGGCAGCTCATCATCATAGAGTATGTAAGCAACGTCCTGAAATAGACAGAACACAACATACAACATGTACACAATAGTGACTATATGGTGTTATGTATTACAGTTATTTGATATACTCCAGTTATATGAGTTAGCATTTCAGCACCAAATTTGTACCATAGTTACAGGATTAAGCAGCAAGGAGAAGGTTTAAATATCATGTGTATATACAAGGTGTCAAATATTGAGGGCAGGTGTGTATGCTGTATGGTGTACTCTAACCACATTGGTTTAGATCTGCTGACACACAGGCCACATCAACCATGGGTCTGAAACATACATACAAGTACCTGTCTAGCAGCTCTGCTGTACATCTGCTGTAAGGTACGGCCGATAGCGTTGTTGGTGTTGTTCAGGGATTCTGGGGACACATCGCTCCATTTCTGCACAGGGACAACAAAAAAAAGAAAGTTCAGTTAATTTTTTCTACTTACAAACAGTGTTAGGAAGTATGGGGAGCTAGAAGCTCAATGCAATTGTTACAAACGTTATCATAACTTTCTAAATCTGCCAGATAAAAATACCTGACCCTGGTGCTGAAATAGCATTAAGCTGACAAAAGAAGTATAAAAAGTACTTACTTCTGCAAATTTGAAGTGAAAGGTCCAGTTGCAATGAGAAGCAAAACAGAACACGCAGATGTAATGAATGTACAAAGTATCTGCCTATTAACATGAGGAACTAATATGATACAATATCTTATGAAACAAGAAGAGGAATAAACCAACCCCACCTGTTTGTTTGCATCCATGTACACATGTCCCAGCCCCTCCTGTACCAACTTGTAGGAACTCTCTGCAATCTTGGGGATTTTGTAGGCAATAAACCTGAAAATGTGAGGGGTATTACACAAATAAATATTGTTTAACTTTAAAGCTACAAATGGAGTTTAAAATTATGGAATGTTTGTTTGCTTGTTTCTTTTCAATTTTCCTTCAAATGATGGTTAAAATATTCCCACTGAAATTGTGTAATGTTAAATTACTTACTACATTTAGTAATGAACTTTGCTATTCATTCCTGCTATGTTCAATCTTCATCGACGCATAGCATTACTGTTATCCACTTACAAAAATATTAAATAGACCCACCAGTCCACAGGTTTGCCTTGTTCGTTCAGACATGACAGAGCGGCGGACCGACCTCCGACTGCGCACAGAAACACACATAACACGGGAAGGAACGGGGCGATCTTCCGCAAAGACATCTTCTGGCAATAGAGCTGGGCTGAAACCTTAGCTGCACGTTCTAAAATGCGGTTAACGTCAACGTCTTGGATGCGTAATCGTTTAGACTTGCCGCTTGTAAGACAGAGACGAGCGGCGTTAAGTGATCCACTTGGCCAAGCTTTGAGCCCGAGTTACATGAAGTGGTGAAACTTGACAAAACCCTCTCTCTAACTAAGCTTCGAAAGGGGAACGAACTGTTTGCAGTTGTGTTCCTCCAAGCGCCAAGTCCCGATCATGTGATGATCCGGAACTGAAACCTTCACATGTCATCAGATTATAATTTGTAACATTCAGGTTTCAAGTGGTACCGACTGACTCGTCTGACGGGTCAGGCTTGGGCGTTGACTATTATTTTACGAGCTGGCTGCCCGGGTTTGGCCCGGCCTCCCACCAAATAAATCCGTAACCGGTCCACACACTTCCACAAGCCCGCCCACTTGAAAATACAAGGCGTCGACGCCCTTCTCGCTGCGTGACCAAGACGTCTTGAAACGTTAAGACATTCCCAGGCATCGTCTCAAGATCTTTCCCTCATCTCGAGTGTCTTCAGGGGCAAGACATGAGAAAAAGACAGACAAAAACATCTTTTTCGGCGAGAAATGTCCTCAAAACTTTCTCATGACCTTTGACCCATGTAACTTGGTAAAAACAATAAGCTTCAAATTCGTTGACTTGATACGAATCTTTCTTATTTTAACACGTTCCTCGAGTCTACTCACTTAACTTACAAAAAAAAATTTTGAATCAATAAATGTAACAATATTTTACGCAAAATACTTTTGTTGTCCAAAGCAAGGTAATTTGTGCCATTATATTTGTGAGAATCTGCGTCTCGAAACACACGGACTATTTCCTCTAAAGTTGCGTAATGTTGTTTACACTTTCCCGAGCAGCTGAGCGGGGGTCGGTTGTGTACAGAGATCTCTGCAGGTAGAACTGCAACAGGTGAGACCAAAGGATGATTTTAGACTTTTGATGGTACTTTGAATGTCATCGAAGTTGCACTATAGTCTTAACAAGAAATTAGGCCTTCGCTGTTTCTCAGATTATTTCTTTGAAGCTAAAGTATGAAGGGTAACGATGTGTTTTGAAGCTTGGGCCTCTCTTCTGTTTTCAGCCCAGGTAACCTTTAACACTTGTGTAAGTCAGTCAATTTGCAGTTGAATTATATGCCGTGATAATTTGTCCTAGACCACCACAATGTTTTCTTTTAATGATATTTCTTTCGTTCGAGAAAACTTATCATATGGCTCAAAGATGAGTTGACCTAACTTATCGTATATAAGGGCCCTTAATTTTTAAGGAGTGGCATTTTAAGGGAAAACGACCGTCAATGTAGGCCCACCACGATCTAGTAAGCTAAATATCCGGCTTTCTACCATGCCGGTTTGTCGGTCGAAGTTCGAACCCAGGTCAGAACCACCCCCTTTACAGAGGTTCAAGCTTGATTGGATAATCCGGGAACCGCCCACACACTTCAAACAAACGTGTGTCACGTAGACAATCCCGTCACGTAGTCACTCTGGGGTGAGACACAGTTCACACGGCTTAAAAAGGGGTCAAACAAACATGACTGGAGGGCATAAAACTAAGTGTTTATTTCAAGTGACTGAGACGCCGGCTGCTGCAGGTAAGAACGCCCCTTTCACCTGTCCGATTTTGTTCTACCTTCTCACTACTTCAGAATCTATAAGTTGTAACTGTAACTTTTTCTGTGTGTGCTCTTGTAAGACTCGTGTCTTTAAACATTCAATAACAGCGATCTAAAGAGGGACAGAAGACAGAAATACAAGTGACTTATTGATATCAATAATGTCATATACATTTATGACTAACTTTGTGTTCTCTGGTTCAGACTTTCTATAGTCAAGCCACTTTCTGGTCACAGCTTTTTGTAGAATAACTTTAATTCTAGAAATGTGGCAATTAAGACTGTAAATGATTTTACAGCTCGCACATTCATTTTTTGTAAGAAATGATTATTTAAAGCATGAAGTCCTGTTGCATTATAACGTGTATAATAGAGAACCAAAATCACAATGAAGATTTACAAAACATGTAAATTGCAGTATTAAGAATACCTGTTGGCCTGAAGAATTTGTAACTCTGTACCTTGACCTTACATGCCAATGAAATCATAGTTACCGCAGTCAAACCTTTTGTTTAGGATGTTTGCAAAGTGCCGGCATTGCAGTAGCTTTGACCGGTTACCAGGACTTAACTTACCTAATATTACATAACACAAAGCTGCTACTTTCCTTCGTGACTTGTATGTTTGCTAGCTGTATTGTCCACGAAACTAGCTTGATCTTATATATGGTGCACCGATTTACAAGTGGGTCACAAGTAGGTTTTAAGTGGCAGTGAGTTATTAGTAGCAGTATATTTAATCTGATTATAGTTAAGATAATTTAAGACAGGTTTATGTGGTCTTACGTGACCAAGTGCCCTTGCATCTGTATTTATATTTATTTATTTATTTCTGTGCTCTTTTTACCGGGGTACAGTGCACGTGGCACTCACAGTGACTGGGCACTGCTTTTCAGAGTGGCCCTGGGTACACAAACAATGCAACAATATATTATTATTCAAAGGAGCTGGAGTAGTACTACTAAGTGGGTTTATTGGTAGGCAACGGTCAAAAATATATATGTAGTACTTGGTGTACAGACTAAGAAAGTCATAAATGATAGTCAATGCCAAGGAAAAGCTAGTACGAATGGCATTTAATCTGATAAAGTACAGGTGAACTTAAAAGCATTTTATTTTAAAGGATAGTGTTAGTAGTGTATGTTTCAAGTTAATTTAATAAACAAACGTTCCCCCAAATGCTCAGTGCATTAATGGAGATGCCATAATCAGTAGCCAAGCAGCTACCTTAGTATGCTGAAGGTTAAATATGCCATCAGTAGCATTGATAGTGAATCAGATTCTACTAAATCCATTTTTTCCAGTGAAAGATGGCGGATGTAGAGTTCACAAACACAGAGTACGGGAAGAACTGGGTCCGTCTGCTGCACATCCGCAGGTTAGGGGGGAAACACCAGGATATCAGGGAGCTGGAGGTAGGGAGTAGGAGTAGTAGTAGCAGTAGAAGTACATGTAGCAGTAGTAGTAATTACTGTACACTATATGCTACTGTTACAGTTGTTACTGTAGTAGTAGTAGTAGAAGTAGCAGTAGTAGTAATTGATAGTAGTAGTAGCAGCAGCAGTAGTAGTAGTAGTTAGTAGTAGTAGTAGTAGTAGTAATAGTAGGTATTGTAAGTATTGGGTTATGTGGGCTTTCTTAATGTGTCTTGTGCACTAGTAATATATACCTTCCTCATACTGTCAATACTGGCACTTATTACTTGTCTATTATAGTAGATACATGAATATGCTTTTGTGCCCTATTTTCCCATTATGAAGAATTCATTCACTAATGCAAATTTGAATGCCTTTCTAATGAACTGTTGCTATCCCTCCAGGTATGCACCAGCCTAACCCTGGACAGTAAGAAGGACTATCTCCATGGAGACAACAGTGACATCATCGCAACAGACACACAGAAGAACACAGTCTATGCACTGGCCAAAACTAAAGGGGTGAGTCTGGATATGGAGATAAGGTGACATGTGGTATCATATGATTTATTTACATGGTTTTCTATCCCATTTCCAATCTGTCAGGAAATCAATGACTACCAATAGTCATTTAGAACTTTCAATTTAACAGGTGGTTGAAGTTACTGTGGCAGTGATGTTTTTACCATCCAATGTTCTTGTCAGAATTTTCTTCTGATGTGACATCTTTGCCAAGTTGTGACGGGCAACTTCCTCACACACCTGCCATTAGTACCAACCTACATACACAATGTACTATTATTAAACCAAACTACTACTAAGCAGCCTAACAACCAATAAGTACTAACTGATTTCCCTTAATGTTGTCCAGGTGACTGTTTTGGCTGGACTAATACCACCTCCCCAGTGGTTTATGTTCATGTTTGTTTGTTTGCATCCAGGTGACCACCCCAGAGCAGTTTGGGCTAGACCTGTGCCATCACTTCCTGTCCAGTTTCTCCCATGTTACCATGGTGAAGGTGGATGTTACCATGGCACCCTGGAGGAGGATTAAAATAGTATGTCATCATCATCATCATTGGCATCATCATTGTCCTCATAAAAAAAAATTGACGAATTGACGTTCTGTATTGTTATGTACATGTAGGATCAGTAACTGTAAGAATCTTACTGTTGAGTGAAGACTTACAGAGTTGTCACTTGCACATCATCTAGTCTCAAAATACCACATCCAATAGGTAATTTTAGATTTAGCAAGCACGACATTAAGCAAATGTCAGGTTTCAGGAACAGAACAGAATTGGTTGCTTCAAAGGACTAATTGAAAGCTTGTTGGTAAACTCTTTACTTTGTTGTAAGTTGCTGCGTATGAAATCTCAGGCCTGTTTCTTGTCCTTACAGGGAGGTCAGGACCACGCCCATGCCTTCATCATGACTCCAGATGCCGTCAGGTTCTGTCACGTGGAGCAGGCCAGACAAGGTGAGTCTAACACCTGAGTTCAGCTCACCTGAAGCTGTTGTCACCAGCTGTCAGGTGTAATCTTCAAGTACAATGTAGATGTTACGATGGAGGATAGTAACATTATTTTTGACTGCCATACACCTGAGAGAATCATTCCCAGAACTACAAATAGGAGCTCAGTGTTTTTTATTACAGTGTATAGAAACCTGTACTTTAGCTGAAAGCAACTCTTACCACTAATCAACATGCATATCATTCTATTACTAGTACTTTTTCAGTTTCAGTTACCATTATTTAGATTAATATTATATTCGTCTTTAATTTCCTTGTCTCAGGCCCACCGGTGGTGCATGCTGGCCTTAAGGACATGAAGATCCTTAAGACGACCCAGTCGGGGTTTACAGGGTTCTTAAGAGACCGGTACACCAGCCTGCCTGACGCTGAGGACAGGTGTCTTGAGACAGTGGTGTACAGCAGGTGGAGGTACAGCACACTACAGGGACTGGACTTTGATGCTGCATGGTACGCTGAGTAGATGCAGTTTCCTATATACTACATATAAAGCTTGACATGATGTTTCAACCAGTATTTTTGCCAGCCTGAAATCTGAACTTTGTTTAACATAATGTCATGTTGAGGGAGGAAGGCCCAACAAATCTAGGAGGGCTATGCTCCATTTTGAAATCTTAACCCTCTGAAATGCTACATGTATTTCCTGCATTTTGACGGGCAAATTTTGCTGGTAGACTAAGCTTAGTTACATGCAAATGACATATCTTTCCATACCTTTACATACCTATTTTTGTCAATGAAAGATGACAAATTGGGCAAAATTTCTTCTCATATTGATAATGTCCTGATAGCTATACATACATTGTGCTGTAGTCAGTTTTATGTCAGAGAAGGCTAGAAGCATGTTTCTCTGTTTCCCAGGAACATTGCTAAGTCCACCATCCTGGAGGAGTTTGCCGGCCCCCCGTCCACAGGCGCGTTCTCTGCCTCTGTACAGAAGACTCTGTATGACGCTGAGTGTGAAATCCTGGGCAAGGTACCACAGGTAAGTCCTAGCTGTGGCAACTTTGAATAGAAAAAAATATTGTGACAAGCTTTGTAAAGCCCTAGTTCAGCATGATGTATTGATTCAGAAGTATTTTATGACATTCAAAGTATGATTGTTTTGTAGATTTGAAGTTTAAGTCTTACATTTTGTTGCATTATGTGTTATCCAAAGTATTTATAACTTTTCTGATCCGTGTAATCTACAGATGAAGTATTTCTGCCAGTGGGCATATCTGAAGATTAACATGACATTAGTACTGTCACTTTCTGTTTGTTTTTGCTCAACAGATCAGTGAAATTGAGATGACGATGCCCAATGTGCACAACTTTACTGTGGATATGTCCAAGTTTGGGCTGGAGAACAAGGATGAGGTAAGAAAATGAGTTACAGCAACAAGTGTTTATAAAAACAACATATAAGTCTGAGGGAAAAGTCTTTACTTCAGTGCACACAGTTTCAGGGAGTGAATATATTTAAAAGCTCAGCTTTTTTGTATGTCCTCTTAAGCTTGCAAGAGGGCTGAGGGTAAAATGAAGAAGTCTTGTTCAGCATGAAAAATTCAGTCACTAACTCTTCCGTGCCTCACCCACAGGTGCTCATGCCAGTTGACAAGCCATCAGGCAACATCCACGCTGCCATCAGGCGCAAAACAACATCCAAACTGTGAGACAAGAGTGCAGAGAGAGTCCACTCCCTACAGTGCCTGCCAGGTCCACCAATCAGTGTTGAATGAAAAAGTATTGAATCACTAGATAGCGTGAAACAATACCTGCAGTTAGATGTGCAGAGGTTGGGTGTAACAGGTTGTTTGGTGTAATATAGCCAGCTGTCTTCTGCCATGCCTGCAAAGCTGGTGTGTTACACCAAAAGGGTAGTTCTACCAGCTATACAGATACAGAAGCTGGTGTGTTACATCGAAGGGTGGGTATAGTCGCTATACAGATACAGGTGTGCTAAAGCAGTCTGCTACTTGCTGAATCACATTGATGAAAGTGATTTCAATATTGCTTGCCTGCTGTGAATGGGACTTGCAACCTTCAGTGATAGATAGAAAGAGAGTTCTCAACAGTTCCTGGAAGTCCACCAATGAAACAGTATTAATGATCAAAAGTTACAGAATACCTAAGAAAATACTGACATCCTACTGCACTCCAAAACTTGCTGATCTCATCTTCATAAGGGCCTGTGCATGGGAACTGTAGCATTATAGTTCAAGACAGTACCTATTTTGTTAATTACAAAAAATATTCTGCACTCATGTTGCAAATAGGCATACATATACTGCTGAGGTATCAGTTTGACAGCAAATTTGTATTGGTGATGAGATAGTGATGATTGTGGGATTAGGTAGCAGGAGGTTAAATTTCTGGGGAGCATAGTCTGTTTGGCACCAAATTTATTGTGAAGGAGGTTTGGGAGAAGTTGAAATTAAGTTTATGGAAAAATGTTTAACACATGAGTTGACTACCACTAACCACTGTTGTTACTATTTGGGCAAGTGCTTAAAAAGTATATAATAATGAAGATATTTAGTTGTTGAGTAATCATCTACATTGTGTATGTCTATATACTTATTGTACATATAGTATATACATGTATTTTTAATTTTTATAAATCCAAATACATTCCTGAGAAATAAGACGGGTATAAATGTGCGAGACGTTTTAATGTTGTTTGATTTTTATTTTGGTCTGCAAACAAATAGTAATGAGTTGTGTTTGTTGAAAAGAAATTGTGACATTCTGAGCCGTACTGTATGCAATTTGTGTGACATGTTCTAATCAATGATTCAATCTTTAAAAAAAATTCATTGATAGCTTGACTTTATATTCACATATTATATCAGTATAATACATCAGTAACATATCTCCCAAATAACACTAAAGTATTTCATACACCCAATATGAGTAACAAAGTAGCTGCATTAATTATTATGCAACATTGTTGATTTCTGCTACATATCAATTTTATGTTTAATAACTAAAGGACCAAATTTTGTCTTGCTCTTTGATAGGGTGTTATATTGACTAAGGACATGGTTATGCTATAATATATAAATTATAATAAGGAAAAATTTACATTTATGCTGGGCACCTGACATAGACTGTATCTTATTATTTCCAATAAAGCAGTCAACAAACAAGTCTTTATAAAGACTCTTCATTTTAAAAGCACTGATAACAGGTATTACATTATCAGAAATTCCATAGATTTTTCACTATAGAGTACATTACTTTGAATATGATACGGTAGCCTGGCATACATAGCATATGGGGAATGGGTAGAGGATGGAGCCCCTACAAGGCTTTGGGAGTGGCAAACTGTACTCTTTAGCAGACCAACTCTCCTGGCTATACATGTATTATCTGCCTATTTACTAGTAGTCAATTTCTACTCTTTCCAGCCACTTCTAAAGTCAGGTAGAGGCAACTGGATTGAGACCCAGTAGCTACATAGATCACAGATGGATATCAAGCTAATGGTAAGGATAACAAGTTGATGATGATGATCACATGATTGATGACATTATAGATGAGATGACATGACAGGTCACATGACTGATCACATGACAGGTCACATGACTGGTCCAGCATTAGGGGGTTCTAGAAGGGCTTTTCTTCTGGCGGTTTCCCGAGAAACGCTCTGGTGGAGTCTACCAAGTCTCTCCTGTGCAGGGGTGAAAAAAATATCTATAAGTCTAAAATATACATCTTGTGTGCATGTAGAGGAACATGTTACTAATACTAGTAGATGTTTATATTGGTTCAAGTTAAACATAATTTCACGGATGAGTTACAATGGCTATCAAAGGTCAGGATGAGTGGCGTAAGGCACTCCTAGCTTCCCAAGTCAACATCTGCCTAGTGATATCCTCCACAAAGACAACAGATTTCACAGTTGCATTGGCTTTCTTCACAGCCAAATCTAGAGGAACTGCCCACTCAAAACTGACAATACTTGTGTGTGTCTCTGAGTCAGCAGAGGGTATGGCCTAGCCACCAGACACCAACAAACTACAAACAGAAATACCTGAGCGTTCTGTAGGATGTTGTTGACGACCATGACTCTCCTGCGGGCGTTCATCAGTTTCTTGACGTACGGCTCCAGATCAACAGGAACTTGCTGCTCCTCGTTTATCTTCTTCAACTCTAAAAACAAACAAAAAAAAGTCATACGTTATTGGGCTGAAAATACTTTTTTGTGCACATCTGCACCAGTGCTGCTTATATACAAAATTACCTGCACTAGACATTTTTCCCTCACCACTCAGAACTTATAAAATTAAAGGAAGTTATTAGACTAGAAACTGTTCAGATCAGAGACCATTAAATTTAAAAGGCTGACACCCAGGCCACTATTCACATTTTAAAATGGTAACAGTCATTGCAGCAAATAAAAATTCACATACCCCTACATGTATGTATACATGGACTGGTGCAGGTAGCTACACAGCTCCAGTTTTACCTGCACTAACCCGCAACAAGGATATTACACTCCTTGCCTACATATAATAAGTTAACATAAAAAATGCCAAGATTACACTCACCTCCACATAAACCATCTATCTGTTCTCTCAGCTCCAACTGGCTCTGTCTGTGGGAAGAAATAAAGATCTATTTACTAACTGACACGGTTCTAGATATGGGGACATCTGACGTAAACAACATACGAATGACAACAAAAACATCATGTGACTATCACCTGGTCAAAAGGGGAAGCTTGACTACACTAGTAATAGAAGACATTGCGGTCTTATAACTACGCTTCAAGCCATGAAACCGGCCTGACCTGACGCCGCGGACTCTCTCGTCCAGTTCCTCCACGGCAGGCCGCAGAAGTCTCATCATGCCGTCCGCTAGAGCGTCTCTCGTCTCGCCTGGAGCCGGGCTGACCAAAATTCCGTCATTTTCCGCCATCTTGCAGGGTCAAAGGTTGTTTGTAGGTCAAAGGTTGCTAATAGGTCAAAGGTTTTGTTGTAACAGCGTCAAAACGCGACTGAAACCTAATAAGTTCCGTTGTCACTGTTTTATTCGTACAAATATGTACCATTCAACAAACGTAAATATTAAATCTGGAATAAATTACAGGAGTTTTGTGATATTATTCGGAGAAAAATAATATATCTGTGCTTCTTTTGAGCTTGCGATTCGTGGCGTTTTGTTGTTGTGGTCAGGAGTAATACGCATGCGTATTGTTGTTGCACGAATTTCAAATTTAGGGAGACGGGAGACATTTGTATGTTTTTGACATCTCTTTTGACTATTTTCGATAACTTTAGAGGAAAATTTAGTGTTAGATATGTCAAAGAAAAGAACAAGAGGGGACGATGGATGTATGGACGTGAATCAAGCCGAAGAAGAGAGGTCAGATCGATATGAAGCTATGGTTTTGTACTTATAAAATTATTTTTATCCGTGTTGCTTTACGCTGACGTAACGATGTTGTTCGTCGTCATTTGTTGTTCTGAGTTGTATGTTTGATTCCTGCAGGTATTTCCTGAACCCCGAGTCTGTGAGTGAACACCTGTACTGCTCCATCTGCCAAGATGTCTTCAAGGAACCACAGCGGGCACCCTGCGGACACAGCTACTGTAAACAGGTCAATATTATATATATAGTACACACTTTACTATGTACTTTTTAAGCTAAAATAATCCACGAAATTTTCGCAAGATCTCAAAAAAAGTTTACACAATGTTGAAATTTTCAAGTGAAGAGAAGAGTAAATATTTAATAAGAAGATCAACTTCACTTTTCTACTGTCAAGGACAAGTATTTACAGATGTATTGTCTATTGACTGTTTTAGATGTTGACACTAGCATCTTTTGTTTACAGTGTATCATGGCCTGGTTACGCACAAGCAAGACTTGCCCTGAAGACAGGTGAGAATCATCAGTTAATGTACTACTAGTACTAGTGACTAGAAATTTTGTAGCGTATCTAGCAGAAGACAATACATGTATTGTCACATTAAAAAAACCTATAACATTGCAATTTGTTGCAGGAGACCTGTTCGAGAAAAAGATCTTCACTACGACTTCATTCTTGCCAACATTATTGGAGACCACATGGTGAGTAAGCTGACTCCAAACCTCTATTGACTTCTTTTTCCATTATAGCCACAACAATGGCAGATATCCCAAACAAATTTGTTGTTCTTCATCATCATAGATATGGCTTTTTAACTGTAGTAGAAAGTTGTACTCTGTGGTAAATATTAAGTTTTGCGTACCCAGGTGGCCTGCCCATTCAGAAAGCTGGGCTGTGAGTTTGTAGGGAAGTTGGAGTTGCTGACATCACACAGGAAGTCCTGCTGTTTCAACCCTGCCAACCTGCCAGAGTTCCTACTGGAGGAACCACAACCTTCTACATCAGGCAAGGCTGCTGCAGCAGCTACAGGTGGGGTGTGGGGAAAGCACTGGGCATACTGCGCCTGCGTGAAACCCAGGTTTTTCACAGTTTTTCTTGGGTGTTTCTTACTACTACAGTGTGTGGGCCAATTTTACCTGTTGCAGACTATTCGTTTCTGCCCAAACATTTGAAAGCCTTTGATTTCCACCAGACTACTGGTAACAATGCTGGCTGAAAAATAGTAAAATTTGCAAGGGGAGTTGAGCTGATGGCGCTTTTGCGATGAGAAAACAATCCCAAACCTGGTTGGGAGCGCCACCTACAGAAGCAGAACTCCAGACAGAAGCTCTGAGGAAGGTGTCTGATACATGTAGACACTGAAACGTCAGAAAGGTAAGAGAAGCACTGGTTGTGTAAAAGAAAATCCCAAAATTTTTTTGCAACCTGATGTATGTGGAAGTTTTTAACACCTCTCGTGTTGTTTTTCCAGCCTCATCATTAGACACCAGCAGCAGCTTCTGTACCAGTGATGACGAGAACAAACTCCCATCTCCTCCCAAACCATCCCTCAAGATGAGACTGTTTAAGAACGGGGCAAGTCAGAGGGACCTGCTCAAGAACATGTTCGACAAGGAAAACAGACCAAAGTAGTCAGAGAATTGTGTAATACCTGACTTTGTTGACATATGTAAATGCTGATGGAAGAAGAGGGATGGGCTCATATAGTATTAGTAGTCAATGAATTGTCTAATGCATGTATTGTGATTGAATATTATGATATGTTTGTATAGATTTGTCAGATTACACTATTTCAGACAAGAAGGTGTTTCTTTTTGATCTTCCAGATAAGAGAAGCATATCTTATTTTAAAATACTTTATTCAGGAAAAACATAGACGAAGATACAGATAAACAAACTCAGAAAACTACTATTGTGTCTTTGTTGACATAAACAAAAAAAATGTAGAAATAGATTTTGTTGGATCAACTTCGTAATTGTCACAACTGAATAAATACAGAATTGGTGATTGCCATATTGTACATATCAACATGTCAATATTTCTTTTGATGGAAAGAAATTAAACAATTGTTAGCTAAAACAAGATCACAAAACTCTTTTGTTTATTGTGTCAGTAGAATGCTCTTCATTTTGTAGTGATATTAAAAGCCTCCTCAGATGAGAACCAGGGGAGTTAGACTATACAATATACTGTACATTTATTAAATACCAGACTCCAGTTTGACGTCCCGACGTCCCGTTCTGTCAAGCAGCCCGCGCTGATCCGTAACCTTATTTCCCATCAGGCATGGTGAAGTGTTCCTGCCGTGTCCGGGCGGGACCCGGGTAGTTATGAAGTCACATGCCGCGCTCTGATGCGCACGTGGCACACAGGAACGCACTGGGACAGCGGCTGTCATGGTTCATGATGTTATACACTGTTGCATCCAGAACCATGCTTTATGCTGAACCAGACACGGTTCAGAATAGTTTGAGCGTATTCAGAACCGTGCTATAATCAGAACCGTGCTCAGACACGGTTATGGATAGTCTACATGCATCAGGCATGTAGCCTAGCCTGGTTACCAAACCTATTATAACTCCCGAGTCCTACATCCTCTCCTCAAACCTCATGGAGAGGATGTAGGACCATTGTGAGGATGTAGGACTAGGTCTAGGGAGCAAAAAAAAAAGGTTTCAGGCTATCAGGAAGGAAGCGTGGGGCAGATGCTTTTTTCTGTTGCAACTGCAAGTATATTTACTTTAAAGATTGTAGACAAAGGATGCGCATTTTGCTATATCCATTCGAACATCTGTCTGTCTCTGTATATATCAGAAGCTTCACACGTCACGTATATTTCTGCACCAAATAATATGTGGGCATTCACCGTGACAGAATATACATGACTAGTATTGTTTTATTGACAAGTTTTGCTTGTATTGAATTTCAATTAAGAAATCAATGCCCATGCATATAATATGTCGTGTTTTATTACTGACCCAAATATTAAAGGTCAGATATTAAAAAAAGAAGATCGAAAGTAAATGCAGTGTGTAGGTGGGGTTACTGGCACGGAAACTCTGTCCCATTCCATGTTTATTCTAATAGTTTGACCGGCATCCATGAATGCCCAACAAGTCAAAAGCTACAAAGTCTCTCACGTATTTTTGAAAGCGATGGCGGAATGTACTCATGTCTCGAAATTATCGAACAAAGAAAGTTCTATCGAATGCCAGGTGCTCTATCGAATGTTGCGGCGAATGCGAGCTTTACGACATGCCCTAGATACGGCGCTTGTTTACTGCATAATACAACACATGTCACGCCCTAGATACGGTAGACACACAAAACTAACGGCAAATCGATTTGACTTATGATGAATGGCGAGTCCGAGAGAAGAGATAGCTGGAGTTTGGCAAGGATGCGATGTCGTGTAAATGGGACGTTTCCGTGCCCTGGTTTTCCCCTAAACCTTGGGTACTTAGAGAACATTAGAAAGGCTACATATATGGTATTTTCATTCATGTGATTATGAGGCCACCATGTTTGATTACTAGTATTAAACTTGCAAGTTGCCCTGATAATGTTGATAAGGTGTATTACCGTGTGTGTACATATCTATGGCACCATACACACGCAGCGCTATAACGATAATAATAAACTTTACTGCACAACAATCGTACATGGTACAGAGTATGGCATCTATTGGGATATAACAGGTATACTATGAGACCTCCTTACAATTACATTACTACTATGAAGTACAATATGATGGACCTAAGCTGTCTAGCGTGCCGTAACCAAATGTACTCCGCGACTTCAATAATACGTTTTTTGCTGCCTTGGAATTGACATTGTTACCATTTTAACAACTTTCTTTGTATAACCTACTGCTAAGAATACCTAAGTATGTGGTCGTCAAAACCTCGTGTTACAATTATACAGAGAAAATAAGCCGAAAACAGTTACCCAAGAAACTGGATATTATTTGGGAAACGATCAGACGTATTTTTACCTCACAGATAACAGAATAGGCTATGGGGTAGAGTTAATCCCACGTAGTACTCGTACATGAAAAGAATGACCAGAAAATTGACAGTTTCGCCGCCCTAAAATTGCATTGTATGTCTTTAACAACTACACAGAAAGCTGCCGCCAGTAATGTCCCTTACGCCTCACTCTATAATGATAACAGTCGTAATCTGATTTAACAGGCAGGTGTATGGACATCACTGATTGACTCACAGACGATGATGTCTCAAAATGATGATGTCGCAATTAAGATGGAAGTGGCGACGGTCTTAAATCCATTAAGTCTGTACGAGCGACTGTAATGATGTCAGCTGTTAGATCCATAATCTTTAACTTTAAGGAAGTGGGGAGGTCAAGAAAATGCGTTTTCGTAGACTAGTACTAACAATATACAATTACTAAGTTCAAGAACAGGACTGGATGCCAACTTTACGTCCATTTGATGTATAGTAATGTAATGAAGACTTGGCATTAATGTGATGTAGACGGTATTGATGATAAAATGGGCAATGATAATGAAGGCATTTGATATATCATTGATCTACCAAAACCGTTGACGTATTATTTTGTATGTAAAATAAGTACTTTTAAGATATATTTTATGAGCACGGAGGATCCATATCTGATGAAGACCAAAAGACGTGTAATAATAAAATAGTTCTAGATTTTATCTCTTTCTTGCTTACATCAAGACGGAGAGTTTCGCCTTGGGATGTGGTCTTGATCTTCAACATTGGCCGGGCATTAGCTGACACTGGTGCCCGCTATAAGCATCTTAAAGATTTCACATTTATGTAATATTGTTTTGAAATGTGCAGATTAATTTTGTCTATAAGAGCTTTACCATGATTTGGAACGTAAATCTTTGAATGAGCAAAATGGCCGACATTTTCAATATCCAAAATCCCTACACATAAATTGCCAATATTGTGTAAGACAGGTCACGCTTTCCTGCTACAGCGAATGTTTTGGATGTATGAAATTGTTTTTGACAGCTCTGCGCCAGATCATATTAAAGAACAAATATAACATGGCTAATATCTGCCTGTCTGTCTGTACCCCGCGGTTCAGAGCCAGCAGGATTTCAATTGAAATTTAAGGCACATGAGGATGAACCTGTCATGTACGGTGGTTCTGGGTGATATATCTTAAAGCTTCGAATTCAATTTTCCATTTTTTTTCATAAAACATGGTTTGGCAGAATGATTCATATTTCAAAACCTGATCCCCGTGCATATCCGCGTAGGAAATCATTATTGTGAAAAAAAGTCACACACATAGAGAAAGATCTGGAAGATGTGTGTGTTTAAAATCACCATTATTACATTGTGTATATAAGATAATAAGATAAAAGGTTTCTTGGGTAAAGCCTAGGTCAGCCTTTTATCTCTTGCTTTACAAGGAGGAGGGCGCAAGGCAAGCAAGACAAAATGTTAAAAGTTACTATGTGCTTTGGCAATTTATAGACGATGGATTTCCATAGTATTTTGTATGACACTTTTGCGAAATGACTTCTTTTGTAGTCTATGATCCCTCGCCCTGATATATTGGTATCCGATAAGTAAATAAATAAAATATAAGGATTAGTAATAAATGAAGCACACGGATTAGTGCAGTCTCGGTGGCCGATTCTTTCATTATCGGATTATCGACCATAATAAAACAGTACATTACATGGTTTAGTGTTCATATGATTGTAAAATTTTATTTCTAACACGTAATTGCTTCCCCTATAATTTCAGAGCAACTAAGGTACGTATAATTAGATAAAACACATGGATTTGTAGTGTAAAGTCAATTTCTGGTTAACGTTGTGTCCTTGGCACTTACAACTTCCCTCACTCCACCTTACAGGTGTAGAATGGGTACCTGACTTCAGTTGGGGAGATAAAAGGCAGTGGAAGGAGAGGGATGGGCTCCACCTTCAGTGTGCCCTAGACACGTGTGGATTAACACTCCGCTGCCTTTATGGCCTCATAGGGGCTATGGGACTATCTTTACCTTTCTTGTATTTAGTGAGAGAGAAACTGCTTTTATTTTCCCGATTCACGATCGCTTGGCCTAATTTCGTTTCTCCCGATAAGTAAATAAATGAAATCCGCGGATCAGTAATGAATAAAACACGCGGATTAGAGCTGTCTCGGCGGCCGGATCTTTCATTATCCGCTTATCGACCGGCAGGCGAACCCCGGGCCCGGCCCAATCAGTGCCGGGGACTCATAAACACGGCAGGCGGGCGGGACCGCCTTATTTCTCACGGGTACCTACATCACGTGACGTGCGAGCGGTTCAGCCGAGAGTTTATCGAATTTTTTAAGGTACAAAGAGAAAGAGACGTATCCCCATAGCAGGCTCTGCTACGGTGATGTTTTGGCATTGCCGCTCATTTTCTTATCATGCAACACTGTTTTCATGATTGCCACTGTGTTCCGATGGCTACTTCTTTGAATAGCCTCCTCCGGAAACAGGAGCAGTAAGAACAATGGCCTCCTCCATGGAAGCCATGAGAACAAGGTAGAAAGGAGCACAACTTTTTCTTCTCATTACATACTGCTTACAGCAAGAGTATATTCGTCGTAGGTCATTGCACGGTTTTGATGCCTTACAATGTTCAAGCATGATGCGGCATAACCGATCCCCGACAA